TTATTGCTACTCTGTCCCTGGTTTTTGTTGGTTTCACGGTGAAATCTGCGGGCATGGCGATCGTCCATGCCTACACGAAGATCCGCAAAGAGTTCGGCCGCCCGGCTGTGTTTTCGGACCAGCCCGCGAAGCTGCTGCTGGACGTTCATCCGGATCCGAACCTGGAGGCGAAATTCATCCAGAAAACCCAGAGACATATGGCCTCTCAGGCCTCCCCGGTGATGTCCGAGCACCAGGTAAAGCGCTTATAAGTTATTTTATGAAGAAACTACCAGTGGTGGAGAAAGTACTCAATACTGTTCTTAAGTAAAAGTACAGATAAACAGACAAATATGTAGGGGAGACCGGGGACAGAAGCAACAAGGGACGGTTGCAACACGTCATTTTTCTCCAAACAGAAACAAGCTAGAGTGATGACACTCACACTGTACATGCTCAGTTAGATGTCCCACCTTGCAAAGAAAAAGTAAGCAGGTTCAAAAACTGCTCCAGGATTTATTCGGAAAAAAAAAACTGTTTTTGAGGTACCAAAGTATTTTTTTTTTTTGCTTAGCTTTATTTTTGTTACACTGTTGTCACTGTTTTTGTGATCCAGCTCAAACTTATATGGTTTAAACCAGTGATATGTTGACTTTTAACTAATGTGGTTAACATGTATTCAGATGAGCTTTTTTAGCTAACACATGAGGTTTTATCATGGCTGACAGGAAGGGGGACAGTTGCAACAGTTGTTGCAAATGTCCCCATATCATAAATCCATATAAAAACTGAGCACATACAGATTATGTTTAAATTGAGTTTACACTTAAAAGGGTATTGGGTTTTCATGACAATTTTATAGTTTAAAACTTATAAGTGTTTAAGATGTATTTTCTACAGTTGTTGTTTTCAACAATGGATTTAAAATCCCAGTTTCTTTCAATGTAAATTTTGCCTAATGTAGGCGTACAGTACAATAGGCAAAACAAAAGTTAATTGCCTCACAAATTGTTCTATTATCCTTGTTTCTAAAAGTCAACTTTATTTTATATCAGTTTGAGTCTTTGACATCTGTAAGGTCTACTCATCACGGCTCTATATTCGTCATTTGATCAAAAAGAATAAATAAATAACACAGTGATATCATTAAAACTTACAGTTTTTATTAATTTTGCAATAATATAAATATAAAAATACTACAACTTTCATTTAAGGTGAAATATATTGTATTAATAATAAATTGTAACCACCCCCAAACAATGTTGCAACTGTCCCTAGTCCCCGGGGTCAGTTGCAAAATCTGACTTTTTATTTTCAAATGCAAATTATGAAAAATGTATATTCTTTAATCATCTATAAATGGTTTTGACTATTAACAGACAYATGTAAGTTTATTGTATTAAAATTTGGTTTGTCTAATTCAAACCATCTCTGAGTAATAGAGTGAAATGTAAAAAGTGTTGCAACTGCCCCCGGTCTCCCCTACTAGCTAATTTTAGACTTTATTAAATANGAAACGGGCGTCTCTTGAACGTTACTTTACACCCGGACTCTGACCGCAGCAGAAGCACCGTGAGTGTGTGGAGCCAGTTTATATTCTGTGTGGAGCTAAAAGAAAATAAATGTTTGGATAAAAACTACTCCATTCGTCGACTGATGTCTTCAAGCTGCAACACTTGCAGTAAGCAAGAACAATACAATAATAAACAACTTTGCAGTGCTGTTTCAGAGTCAAATGATCGATAAGATGCGTCATTCTGCTTCATCATCAAACTAAATCATATTTCACACATTTTAGATAAAAATAAAATAAAGTCTGACAATGACAGTTAGATGCTTGTATTATATATTTTTAAAAAAATAATCAGTGCAAAAATAATTACAAACCAGAAACATTTATGGAGGTTCCCGGATCAATGATGCCACTGTTGGGGCGCACACAGTATCTGCGAGGTGCGGTCGTCTTGACTTTGAAACACACATTCCTGTCTGTGGGGTTTGTGAGCTTCAGAGTGGCGGTGACAACATCTGTAAACGGGCCTGAGGAGGACAAAGACAAGTCCAGTGACTCCAGGTTCTGCATGTATGCTTATTTTTCCAGATGTATTCCAGCGATTTTACAACAGCTCATCTTGACTCGTGCATCTTATTTTAAAGCAGTGCATGTGTGTAATAAAGGGCGTGTGAGGTGTTTGAGGGACTACACGGATTTCCCCACGTAAAAACCACCCACACCAATCATTACAATTATAGAAAATACATCATTAAGCTAAACCCTCAGCAAAAATTACACTAAATGACTGCAAAACTACTGTTACTTTTTGTACGTGCGGCACTGTAATCTTACACTCTCATAAGACCAATCAATCATGTTTTGCAACTGAAGCATTCAGTCTTTTTGCTAATAAAGCTTGCTTTTGGAGATATTATTTAAACAACCTGACTTTTGCTGTGTTACACTGTGCAGAGTGGGCGTAGGCATCTTCTCAGTACTCAAATCTCTGCAATAATCACTCAGTGTGCAGACCTTTTACTATTCTGTTTCAATAGGGCAGGATTTGATTAATTTTATACAGAAGTAAAAGAAAAAAACTGTTACTATTTGTAGTACTCCGCTTGTGTTTACCGTTTGGGACACAGAAAAGCTGAGAAGGAATTCGGATTGCGTGTTAAGCGTAAATCTCTAAATCAGATATTTCTAGATTAATTAGTGTTGTGAAAAGAGCATGGAAATAAGGCTGAGTAATGATTCCCGGACTGTGGAAAATACTAGAATAGTCACTTCTCGACAAGCATGTGTGAACAACAAAAACACTTGCAACATGACTAATTTTAATCTACATGGTGTTTTACGTACTATCAGATGCTGAAAGGCAGTAAATAAAGCATACGAGAGAAAATAATGACACGTCGGGCCTGCCCTGACGCTGCAATGACAGCTAGCTGTTCGATTAGCTTAACGCTAACAGTTAGCAAGTTACAATCATCGCACACGGCGCCGACTTTCTTGACACAGACAGCATTTAGATTTATTATTGATAGATTTTACAACATTACAAGTTGACAGCACAGTAGCAAAGGCTAAACGTGGCTACAGAGGCCAGTCACTGGCTAACAGCTACTGTTAGCGACCTAACAACGGCCCTGGACTCCGCCTCAAAGTTACCTCGGAATTTCAGTTCTTGTGGCGGCTCCAGCAGCAGGACTTGTTCTGGTCTGGCCATGTCCCACAGCTTCTCTGTCTGTCGTCACAGGCAGCAACAACTAAAGGCCCGCGGGGGTCGAGCAGCTGGACTCTGAAGAAAAAAGGAAAACAACCCAGTTGTTCTCCGCTTTCCAACGGGAAGAATGGTAAGCAAATCCGATAGCACTCCTGCTACTGAGTGAAACCGACAGCTGCTGTGGAGGTTAGCTTACAGCTAACTCTGCTAGCAGCCGGAAAAGTTAGCCTGCGCATGCGCATTGTATCATCCAGTTTGATCCATTTTACCCATTATGTTTTTGCATTTATGACATTTATTATTGTCTGGTGTATTGTTCAATTTTCTAAAAAGAATGAAACTGAGGGTTGAGATAATATATATATATATATATATTTTTTTTACTCCAGGTATAAATAAACCTGGAACAATTTCCTTTTAATTGAAGTCAATTTGTAGTCAGAAACAACAGCGCCCCCTGGAAACGTAATACATAATGGC